GGCGCCCATGCGCGAAGTGAAAGTCGTGGACGATATCGCTTCCAATGTGCTCACCAATCTCGAAGTGGAGGCCTACCATCATCGTAATATGGAACGAAACTTCAATATGGATGAAGAATTGGAGGATGAAAGCGAAGACGACAAGTTCTGTGTGTGGCATAGATGTGATAACGATCTGCGCGAGCCACGCGGTTTCAAGAAATACTTTGATTTGTCATTTTTGAAGAAATTTATGAGTCATTTGAATCCCTTCGGCATGTCGCGCATGAATATGAATTTCTATCTCTTCAAACAGGATTTCCCCGAATGTGGGCGTGAACTGCGTATCAGCGATAAGCGTGCGGAATTATTGCGTGCCGGCTTTAATCCCAGGCAACCAACGCGGTTAGTATACAGACGAAAATAGAATGCAAACAATGCAAAGAAGGCGCGCCTTTTCAAACAATAAATAAATAAATTTTTACTTTTATCCCCCCATCAACAGCATCATCATACACGGCTAGATGTGTATAAGAGACAGGTATACAGACGAAAATAGAATGCAAACAATGCAAAGAAGGCGCGCCTTTTCAAACAATAAATAAATAAATTTTTACTTTTATCCCCCCATCAACAGCATCATCATACACGGCTGGATGAGTCAGTCGCGTGGCTCCTTCAATCGCGACGTCAAGAATGCGTATCTCAAGCGCGGGGATTACAATGTGATTATCGTTGATTGGAGCGCCAGCGCGACCAATGTCAATTACTTCGCGGTGGTCAAAATGATTGAGGGATTTGGCGCACAAGTCGCACGTTTCACGCAGCACTTGCAGCGCACCGTTGGTGCAGATTACGATGACATGTACCTGATCGGTCACTCGTTGGGCGCACAAATTGCCGCCGCTGCTGGCAAGCTGATTCAACCCGCGCGCTACAATACCATCTTTGCTTTGGATCCTGCAGGTCCTAAGTTCCGTCATCGTAGCGCTGAGTTTCGTATTGATCCCACGGATGCTAAATATGTCGAGTCGATACAGACCAGCGGCAATTTGGGTTTCCTCGAACCCACCGGCAACGCAACATTCTATCCGAATTATGGTCTCTACCAAAGTCGCTGCTACTATGTCGGTTGCTCACACATACGCGCCTACAAAATGTTTGCTGAGTCCATCACAACCGACGTGGGTTTCTGGGGCACACGCTGTGAGCGGCGTGAGCCGGAATGGCAATGCAATGAAGAGATATCACCTGCGGATCTCTATCGTATGGGCGGTGAGCCTGCCCAACTAAAAAGCGGTATTTTCTATGTGAAGACGGGCACGGGCGCGCCGTTTGCTTTGGGCCGCAACTGGCAGAATGAAGATGCTTGAGGCGGAATTTACGGGTGTGAGTGAGAGTAAGGACTTCGAAATGTGATACTTGTTCCAAAGCTTGCCACTTGAAATTAGTTAGAAAGCAAGAATTCTTTCTTATTCTGAAATATACATTTAAATACTGATTTTTATTATTAATATTTCAATTTTAATATTTTTATAGAATAAATGTTTAAACGAATCAATCTGTTTAATTTTTGTCGACGTTTGAGAAAACATTCTTTTTTTTTGTTTTGAAAGTAGATATTCATGTTACCTTATTTTTGTAAAAAAATATAAGTAGAAATAATATGGCAAGGTTCTCTTGGAAATGATTAGACGGTGTTGCCAATTATATGAAAGAAAGTATGTATTCAATAGTGTTGCCATATTTTGCTAAAAAATATAACTAAATAGAAACAATAGAAATAGTTAGAGGAAGTTGCCACTCATATAAAATAACGTATATATTCAATGGCGTTGCCATATTTTTGGGAAAAAATATAAATAAATTGAAATAATACGGCAAGGTCGAAATTTACAAAAAAAAAATTATTAGAAATAGTTAGATGGGAGCTGCCACCTATATAAAATCTCGACAAAGGTTCTTTCTGACTCTTTTTTTCAAATAGGGGGCATACAATTTTTTCCTAAATGGCAACTCTTCCCAAAAACAGTTTCACCTTTCAAGCCGCTTTAATTTCAATTTTCTTCAAATAAGATTTTTGGCATCACACTCTAAATATTCTTTAATAGGTGGCAACCCTTTTTTTAAAAAAATGTTCACCAGCAGCCTTTCTTCTTAGTTTACTGAATTTTTTCTCTTTTCAGACTTTTACCTGTTTGCTTTCTTTTAAGCAGGTGGTAACATTTCAAAATTTTTCAATAAAACTGGTATTGAATATTTGATTGTCCGCAGTTGCCACCCTATTTGATTTATTAAACACAACATATAATCATGAAAAATTTTAAAATTATACAAAATATTCCATCAGACTTCAAAAACTATATTTGTCAAAAAAAATTTATTTCAAAATTTAAATTTTTTCATTATGAAATTATGTCTACAAAAATCTATTAACGGACATTTGATCAAATTATGTTCGCTTCATGCTTCACTTCGTTTTTGCTGTTAACTACACGATCGCAGTTCAGCTGTAAAAGCGCTGGTTATTGGTTAATGATTAAGACCAATCAGATTGAAGGCACATGCCTAAAAGTAGACTAACAATTATAGTAACGGTTTAAAACACAGGGTGCAGACAAAGCAGATTTATTAAAAATGTTTAAGCTTTCGTATAAAAACCCGCTTTAAAAAACTTTATTTTTCTTTACAGATTTATGACTGCAAAGTTGCATACCCATATACAATCAATTTACAGTTATACGCCTCGCTTTATCCATAAACACTTATTTTCACACTCATACGCTTGGCATATTAAGCTCTATTAAGTGTTTATGCAAAAGAATATTAACAGGGAATTAACAACGGATTAAGCAAAGCTCCACAAAACTGAAAATTCACAAACACACACTTAAAGGATTTGCACCGTTAAGAGAACAAATAATACAAACAAAAGTTTACATATGTACATGTATATATTTGTATGTATTCAAAGGCGCTTACGTGAATAAATATTTGATTTTAGTTGGAGCCTACTCGAACATTCAATGTAACCCAATTGCAAATCAGCCATGTTTGAAAAAAGGTATTTATATGACTGGAAGTTGATGCCGAGAGATTAACAAATAAATGGGAAAAGTGCTATGAAAGTATAAAAATAAAAGTTCTTGTTGAAAAATGCAGAGATTACAAATTCAAATGTCAAGGTTTTTTAAGTTTCCGTAATAATATTGAAAGCTTTGAGCATACTTGAAAAATCTCCGAATAGCTTGACTTCTAGCTCGAGTACAAAACCAGGTAATATTCAGAAAAAGTGAGGGGCATGAATCATCACACAGCCATAAAATACACAGATAATTCCTTTCAGAAACCATTAATCGAAGTTAGGAAGAAAAAGTCGTGAACACTTGGTTCAAAATATTCCAGACTAGACACACGAAAAATTCTAGAGTAAAACCTTATAATAACGGGTGATCCAAGAAGAAGTACTTTTTTTCAATAGCCTTTCAAAATCTCGCGTGAGTCATGTCAGTATTGTTTGGTAATTCATCATTTGAAGGCTTACACCTGAACGACGTCTTACAAATCGCTCAACTTATGGCCACCATCACCAACTTTGAGAAATAGCATTCAGTGAAGAAAATATAAAGCCGTAGCTGAGAGTGTACACGAAGGCAGTGAAAAGTTGATCCGGTGCCGTTGGCAGCGATTCGGACAGACGTATGGAATGACTTGGCGCAGTTTTCGTCGAAATCTCAACTGAACTGAAGCCGCTCGATCTTATCAAGCGACATAACTTTGCTCTATGAGCCCTTAAAAAATATGAAGGCGATCTGACGTTTTCGAGCCAAATTTTGTTCAACGATGAGGTCCATTCCTCAATCAATGGGTATGTAAACAAGCAAAATTGCCGTAAGAGAAATCTGAAGGAATTCAAGAGCTGCCATTTTAAGCAGAAAAAACATCGGTTTGTATTGGTTTGTGAGCGGTGGAATAAACGATTCATATTTCTTCAAATATTATGCCGGTGAGAACGTAGCCGTCACTAGCGACCGTTACCACACCATGATAACCAACTTGATATCTGACGTTGAAGTTGGTAATCTAGGCGACATTTAGTTTCAAAAAGAGGGCGCCACATCCCACACATCGCATCAATCAATTCATTTAGTGAGAGAACACTTTGGTAAGCAAATAATTTCACATTTTGGGCCGTTCGATTGGCCACCAAAACCGTGTGGTATCACACCGTTAGACTTTTTGCTGTGGAGACTTGGAGCAAAATATCACGCGGGTCAACGCCAGTTACCAGTCGAAATGATAGAGGAGTCATCGAAAATTGGACTCAACGGATGGAGTAACTTAGACGTAGCCGCAACCAACATTTGAAAGAGATAATCTTTAAAAATTAAATGCCAAATAATGACCTTTCGATTGATAATAAACATTCTCTATCAATATTGAAGTTTCTGTTTTTGTTCTTTAAAAAGTGGGGAGCCTCGGAATGGGTCACCCTACAGTATGCCTCCGCGGTTTCATTCAGTGTATCGAAAATGTAAATTCCTGGTACGCAAAGTACATTAATTTCTTTATAAGTAGACTATAAACCAGTCTTTTGATTTGACGTAGATGATTCGACCGTAGAACAACTGACATTCGTGCCTGACTGCGTGTACTACATATTTTATTATTTTACTATTTTACTTTTGATTTGTGTGTCGGCATGAAATTTTTCTTATTTTCCGCTTAACTGACTCAGTGTATGGAAATTCGTCATAATGCCGCGCCCAAGCAAATTAAATTCAGTCTCGGCCTTTCGATAATATGAAAATACATTGAACTTACTGTGATTACACATAGAAATGTATATTTACTATACTTTGACTGATTTATATTACTTTAAGTGATACCTTCTTATCAGTGTCGCGCTTTTCAGCTGTGGCAGCATACTCCGGTGGGTGTGCCAAAACAAAGCGCCAAAAATGCAGAGGTAGGAATAGTAATAACATTAATCTGTGTATGCTTCAACGCTCCAGTTTATAATAGGCTTGCGAATAGTTCACACGCATCGCACAAAAATCAAGAATCAAGTCTTCGAAATTAATTGAGTGAATCACGAATCATAATTGAGTGTGTTGTGATGTGAAAGCGACGAGACGGACGGTGAACAAATTCTGCACACTTAATTAAGTGCTTGGTCGAGTCGGGTCAAAGGTCATTTATTTTATAATACAATTTGAGGTACGTATTTACATTTGCTCTCACATAATGAGTATAATTTGAGAAAAACTATATTATTGTGCGACAGAATATTTTCAGCGATTTGCAGCTGAATTACAATGGAGAATTACATGGATTAAGCTAAATATTAGCCAATTAACTTTACGGAAGTGTACATATCTGATCTGCCATAAGATGGCGAGATTATAAATTATACCGATAGCCAGAAGCTGCAGAAGCTGATGGGAAGCAGACGAAGGAGAGATCTATGCTTAAGCAGATTTTTTGTATCGCTTTTTCAAAACTTAAGATCTAATTAATAGAGTTCCTTTTCTGCTTGCACAAAGCACTGATCATAGTCAGTCCAAGCATGCACCTCTCTTGGGATTCGCCATATGATCCTAACATAACCTCATGAACTAGCCAGCATAAGAAGTCGAAATGACATCCGATAGATCCGAATTTTATAGAGGTTTCCAAGTCGCGTTGCACATAATGTCTCTACTCACATCGCTCTAAAGCGAGAACCTCGACTATATTTTTCCGAAATTTAACTTCTTTCAAGTTAAGCCAGATAATTAGTCCTAAAGTGATGTCGCTTCGAAATATTTTTAAAGAAATAGAAATCCTCAAGTAATATGAAACCCTAGTAACCCAATTTCAAAAAAATAGTGATCGTGATTCTATGATATTACTTCTTACTATATGATCTCTTTAGATTACATTCTGAAAGCGAATAACACAAATTTACCTTAAAAGTGTTGCCTTTCATTAAATTCAAGTATAATTTGTCCAAAATATTGTGCTTGCCGTAAAAACACGTCGATTATTTATAATTCCTTAGTTTCTAATTCAAACATGGTAAATTAATCATACAATGAATTACCCAAATTTCATTTACTATCTTGTGATTCATGCAAGGATATTATGAAATCGAATTTCAAGGTTTTTAATCTGATTTATAACCTCGCTGTCGCTTTTAGTGAATGAGAATAATGAGCCGTCATTTATACACAAAAGTAAATATCTAAACAAAGATAATTACAAGTTCTTATCAACATATGTAAATAAATAAACGATATAAACACGTAGCAGGTAATAAAAGTTATGATTAATTCAGTAAATACTTTTCAAGTTGGTTATCTACCATACATTAATGCCTCATTACATGTGCAAACCAAACAAAGAAGATATATAATATATTTGACGGGCTTAATATATATTAGTTTTTATATACACATAGGTATATATACATACATATATGAATATATTTTTTGCAATTTTAACTTTTCCTTTTTAATTTTGTTTTCAATAGGTAGTTGTATTAATTGAGTCAATCAACATCTTAATTGTTTCGGATAATTGAGTGCGAAAAAATTCTATATATTTTGTATTTTTATTTGCATTATGTTTTTTAACTTTTGAAGTTATAAATTTTATTAATTGAGTCAATTAACATCTACATTTCTTACTTCGACTAACTGAGTTGTGTGAAAATTAAATATATTTGTTTGTTTTATTACCTGTTTTTTCTTTTTCAAATTTTAAAGTAATTAATTTTATTAATTGAATTAATTAATAGTTTAATTGTAATAGTTAGATTTTGTGTTAATTTTTTTGTTTTTTAAAATTTAAGTAATTAATTAAATTATTTAATTGAGACAATTACCATTTTAATTGTTTTGGCTCATTGAGTTGTGAAATAAATTTATATACATTTCATGTTTTTATTTGAATTATGTTTTTTAAACTCTTAACGTAATTGACTTTAATAATTAGGTAAGTCAATTAACAGCTTAATTACTTCGACTAAATGCGATGTGTGGCAATTATAAATATTTAGTTGTTTCTTTTCAATCTTCAAAACTGATTATTTTTTATTAATTAAGTCAATTAACAGTTTAAATGCTTCGCTTAATTGAGCTGTGTGTAAAATAAATATATATATGCCTATTTAATTTTTTTTTTTTAATTTTAAAGTTATTAATTTTTTTAATTGAGTCAATTAACAGCTTAATTACTTTTTTTAACTGAGTTGTGTGATCATTGTATACATATATTAGACTTTATGTTCATATTTTCCTTTTTATATATTTTAATTGCTAATAAATTTAATTTTTTTTAATTGACTCAATTAATAGCTTAAATGCTTCGATTAATTGAGTTGTGAGGCAACTATATAAATTTGGTCTTTTTATTTCAATTTTTTTCTCTTTAAAATTTTAAGCATTAATTTTATTATTTGACATTAACATCCTAGTAACTTCGACTAATTGAGTTGTGCGAAAATTAAAAATTTAAATATATTTGTTTGTTTTATTTTCTTTTTCTTTTTTACTTTATAAAATTATTACTTTTTTTAATTGAGTCAATTAAAATCTTAATTGCTTCGACTAATTGAGTTGTATGAGCATTGCATATATTTGATTTTATTTTCTTCTTTTTTAATCTTTTCAAAAATAGATATTTTCATTAATTGAGTCAATTAACTTCTTAATTGATTCGACTAATGTCGAGCATTCTACCATAATTTTTTAAATTTAAAAACAATCATTATATTAACTGCACCTACTTAACTTGCTTGTATGCAGTGAGTCACGATCATAACCGCAACGAGAGGGTTCGATACTTTCGAAAAAAAAATTAAAGTTAGGCTATTCAATTAAAATAATTTGGTAACAACTTCGCAGTGGTGGACTTAAAAATGCTGTTGGTAGTTACATACACATAATGTTCACTTTTTTCATATACCTTAATTCACTATCCAACATATTTTCATAATTATCAAGGTCAACCGACTAGTCGGCATTGAAAAGCATGTCACATAGACTTATGCTATATTTATCGAAACTTTTTTATCTATCCTATCTAATGACAGTGATTTGATAACTATAAAACTAAAAAAATTTTAACAATTTATAGTAATCATACACCAGCTGTGAACAATGAACTTCAACGAATTTGAGAGAGATTGTCTGCAAGCGCACAACCAATTTCGTGTCAAGCATGGCAGTCCACCATTATCACTAGATCGAGGACTTTGCATTTATGCCAAGGAGTGGGCGGAAGTAAGTAGTGTCAGAGTGCAAAGTGTTTTCTGATATAAGATATAAAATTTCCAAACGGGATGGCTGTCAAATCAGCTGCCAAAATTAGATTCATATACAATCCTCGTTTGAAATGAAAGTGTTTTATCTTTGAAAAAATTTTTGATTTTCATTGATCTTCGATTTCTTCTAAGACTTTGGCTCGTCGCAATATTTTACAACATCGTACAAATAACCGTTATGGCGAAAATATCTACATGACAATGGGCCGTCCCAATTTACGCGGTGGTGATGCGGTGAGCAGTTGGTACGCTGAGGTACGTGATTATAAATTTGGATCCGGCAGTGCTTTCGACCTAAAAACAGGACATTTTACACAAGTGGTATGGAAGGGCAGCAAACGTCTGGGCGTGGCGATGACGAGAAGGTAAGAGCGCTGTCACTGTTACACATGAACACTAACGAATTATTATCCAATTATTTTTATAGCGGTGATCGTATATATGTTGTCGCCAACTATGACCCACCAGGAAATTATGATGGTGAATTTTCAAATAATGTTTTGCCGGCAATAAGCTGAAAGTGTTTTAGTTTCTTCGATCATTTTAAAATACTGTAAAATGTTTGAATATTTATTATTCGCACATTATTTATTAAAAATATTATAAAAATTAAAATATTCTACAAAAAATTGTTGTACTCTGGAAAGACACTGGTCGAATATATCATAGGGCAAAAGACAGTTTAGAACCACTTAAATAAAGTGGATACAAAAAGGAGTTCTGTCTTTGGGCGCTATTCACCAAAGGTGGTGCTCTGGCTCTGTGAAACCACAGTTAAGGTAATAATGTTTTATGGGACCGTCGTCCGTTGAAGGACGCTCGAAAAACCAAACTAGCTAAGCAGCTGGAGCGTGTCTAAAGAGCGGTCCCCATCGACATTTTTGGATCGCTAAGGGCAACCCATTGAGTGCGAATCGTAATAAAATCGATAAATTTCTGAAGAAGGTTATTACACGACACAAAGAAAAGGTTCCTTACAAGCGAAAGCAAACGTGGTCGAATCGAGATGAGTCGGTTTAAACGGTGGTCCTGCCAGGCATCACGGTGATTGGGGTTTTGTTATATGTTTGATGTGATAGGGAGGGTATCATTGTTACCGAACAGCTCCTCTACGACCAAACTGTCAATTAGGTTCTGTACTGTCAACAATCTGACCGTCAAAAGAAAGTAATCGCCCAGAACGATTTTGTGTAGTTAGTTGAGGTTAATATGGGATACTCGTGAGCCATAAATAGTCCAGTTTTAGTCCTTAGCGATGAAGACATCCTTCAGAATGCCAGCGTGTGACACCTTCCCATTAGCTTGAGATAAGTGGATTTCCATACGCCTGTCCACCATACTAAGAAAGCCCCTAAGTTGTGCCGATCACCTATCTAGACGATATAAAGCCTTTGCTACAATGCGCTTCCACAGCAGTTTACTGCCGAATACTATTACAAGGTATTTTGGTCCTTGAGAGAGTTATGTTCCATTTATCGAAGGGATGCTAAATGGAGAAAACTCCAATTTTCTTGGAATCACAAGCAGATATGTATTTTCCGAACTAAACCCAATATTTTCTTAATATGCCCGATTCTGGAAGATCACGCAAATGAGGAAAGTTCTCTGAGCAGCATTCACTTGGAAGTGGCCAGAAGCGATTCATTTGCATATGGCTAAAGCAGCTCAATACTTCCGGTCTTAATTAAGTATTATCTGGGTTTGAAAACAAACAAAAGTCAGAAAGCGAATCATCCTTCTCCAGAGTTTTGCACTTGGTTTGAGACCGTCATCGGAAACATAGACCCCCAAAGTAAGGAACACAGCAACCTTGGATGAGAGCCCTCCCTTTTATATTGAAAGTAGTGTTTAATATACTACTGAAATACTAGCAGTCTAATCCCGTTATTAAGATGGCAATGTCGTTTGCATAAGCTACTGTCTTAGACGCTCTGGCATTTACCAAAAGTTTCTAAACAGTTTATCCATCACCAATGTCCCAAGCAGTCCAGCATTCGGCTCTGATCTTTTAACCTTGCAGAGTGCCTCTAGAGACTTCCGTAATCTTTCTAGCATCGCTCCATTCTGCTCTTATTTAACGTTGTGTACTAGGATCAAGGACTATTGACTGGATAATATTCAGAACATATTTTGTAAAAAGCAGCACTTCAGGGGGGATTGTTCGTGGTATCGTCAACATTAGCCTACATACCGAACCTATCATAACATGGTTCTCTTATAATACTGCTAAAGCTGCTGCCTTTATATCGGTGAGTTGTGAATATTTCGTTTAAAACTAAGTGATTTAGTAGCAATTACACATTTTTTCGTTGGACACCTGGTTCTAGCACATCCATAGTATATCGAAAATATTGATTTTTCTAAAACTGTTTCGCAGTTTGCGGCTTGTTATGTTGAAATTAACAGCACTCAAATATACATGGACCCTGCTGAATATTTCCGAAATAATTTGCGCTGTCTATGTTAATGAAGTCATTTTATGCTCAAATAATATATGCGCGTGTATGAGGAGGTAGGCATTTTTACATACAGGGTGTTCCAAAAAGAGTGATAAAATTTCTTTTGAAAAAACAAATTTTTTGGGAAACTCAAATGCTTTTCATCTAATGTGAAGTACAATCGATACAATAAAGTTTTGAATATAGCATCGTTCAAATTACTTCCACGACTTCTTTTGCAGGAACAAATTCGATAAAATGGAATTTCGTGAACTTTTTCCGCTAAATCTTGTCGTATGTCATGAATAGCTCTTCAAAATTGACTTCTAAATATTGAAGAGAGTTTTGTTTATTACAAAAGATCAATGACTTCAAATAACTCCACAATAAGTAGTCTAACAGTGTCAAATCACAACTTCTAGGTGACATTCTATATTCCATTATGCCATTTCTGAAAATAATCGAGGCTCCAAACCTTTCTCGCAATAATTCGTTGTAGGTGTTGTGTGGCACGTAGCTCCCCGTACTCTTAGAATCAGATGTTGTGAAGATCAACAACTTCCAACTGCGGTCAAGAAAAGTTGGTTATGGTCGAACTATACCGATGTTGTTGCTATAGCCATAGAATTCTGACGAATTGACAGTCCTTGACCAGATAAAAAATCCAGAACCGTTCGGGTCACGTAGTGTCAACTGTCGTGGGAACGGAACTATACCGATCTCTATTGACATTAACGGCATCAACAGCTTCATTGTGAAAAAAATACGGAACGATGATTCCACCAGACCAAGAACTGTCAATTTAGGTGCATGTAATGGTTTTCCATGAGTATTTTGTGGATTTTTTTCGCACGAGAATCGAGAGTTTTGTTTATTTACTGCGCCACTCTACTGAAAATGAGCGTCATCTGAGAAGATTGCTTTACTAAAAAAATCATTTTCTTGTTGTTCCAAAGCAAAATCAACAAATTCACGACGTTTACGCTGGTACAATGGCTTCAGTCCTTGAGTGCGAACAATTTTATATGGATGCAAGCCGAAATCCTTTCTCAAAAACCACCAGCTTGCGGTTTTTGATAGTAAGACTTCTTGAGACCGACTTGGAAACGACAAAATGTGACCTTCAGCAACACTTGCCGGAACGAGGGCAATATTTTCATTATTTCGATGACCGAAACGACGCTCAGAAATCATATTATTCCTATTGGAAAACCCGTTATATGTCTAGGTGTACCGAAATCCAATACGAATTTCGATAAGTCTATCTAGCTACATTAGTTGCGTGCGCCTCTTATCGAACCACTCACAATTAACGTTGGTGTGGCAATTAAAATGCAAATGGCTCCCCAAGCACAACACAACTGATGGATGTATAATTAGCCTGGTGGTGATGCCACTGATGATGATGACGATGTTGTTGCTTTGAATTTCATGACAAAATGGTTTGTGCTCATGTTCTTTATTTGTTGTTTTTGTAGCTGACACTTATTGGCTGCTGGCAATTTGATATCAACATTAGGCGCACGAATATGTGACAACAAAACATACAAACTTTCGTGTATCTGTGGATGTTTGTACGTTTATATATGTGTGTATAAGTGTTTGTATTTGTGGTTGTACTTGTATTTGTCTGCGTACAGACATTTGTATGTGTCGACTGATAACAATTTGCAATAAAAATTAGAAGTTCCTTCGGCAGAGTGTCTGTGTGTGTGTCAGTGGTAGCATTGTCGTGGCCATCAAATCAGCATTTTCATCAAAAATAGCAATAACATCAACGCTGGTTGCCACCCACAACACTTGCACCCTTTCGCCTGCCAGGCCAAATGACTGCCGCTTCACATCCCGCTGCCGGCGTGCACTTTTCAACTGGCAATGGCCATGTCGATGCCCATTTTATGACCAAATAAACTATGTTAATAGCAATTTGCGCACAAGTTAAAAACACACACACACACTCAAACGCACACATGCGCGTGCTAATAAACAAGCGTTCGGTGGCAAGCAGATTAGGCGTTTGGCCCGTTGCAGCATCCCAACGCAACCCTCACAGCCGCCCAGTGTCTGTAACGCCCGCGCACCGTTCGTTCATCTTTTTCGTGCGTTGGTCCACTCAACGAGTTGCCTGCGCCCCGTCCAGTCGTTTGTGCAGCAAATATTTATTGCCATTTTGGGATTACTTTCTGGGGTTTAATTGCGCTACCGGAATACCCGACAAACTTACTGCAATACACACAAACGTATCAGCAATCATATGCCCATATATATATCCCTGAGTATGTTTGCTTTTGTTGCTGCTACGCTTACTTGCGCTTATTGCATTTGCGCCTGTGCCTGCGCCTGCGCCAGCGTTGCCATCGAACCCCGGTCTCTGCGTGTTCGCCTGCGGCTTCATCGCCGCTGTCAGCTCTGATTGTTTTGCCAAAGTAATTTAAACTTGTGGGCAATAAAAATAGTTGTAAAATTTCCGTTACACAAATACATGTGTACGCATGTATACACGGCTTAAGCAAATTAACGGGACCACGCAAGAAATATTTTCATAATCATTTGAAACTCGAACTTATAGCATGCGACTAACGCTAAGGGGAGCCTCCGAACTCATCGAGTTACCATTTGTGCCTGCCCGGACGCCAAGTCCTTAAGCTCCATTTACTGCGAAGTACTTCTAAAGTAAATCAGGTTAGGTTAGTTGAAGTTCCCTACTACTACTACTGCTCCCTAATAATTCGATATGGAGATTCAGTTTAATTTGAGTTGAAGTATTCGTCTTAAAGAACATCAACATTTAAGACCATCTTGATATTGATTTTTTTTTATCATGAGACAAGATATCTTTCCGAAATTTGGCATGAAATACTATCCAAATTAATGCTAATAGTATAACAACTATTTAGTACAAAGTCTAAATTTTTTTTTTTCAGATCAGTTCAATAAAGCATATAGCTGCCATATAAACTGACAGAACAAAATCAAGTTCCTGTTTGGAATATCTCCTTGAACCGCCAAGCACCTAGATAACTAAGACGAGTTCTAGATAGTACTGCAGAGAAACACAATAGGTGTTCCAGTGCCTATCTCATGACTATTGTCCTACACTTTCTCCGATACATGAAGATGGACTTACTATATACTCATCCGGCTCACACGTGATGCCAGTAGGTTGTGATCTGTTACTAGGCCAACAGTCATCTTGACTTTCCCTTCCTTTCGAGAGGATGTGAGTAAAAGCATGCTTCTTTTTCTTCGGCGACTCTTGCACAAGATCTTGGCGATCCTGCATGTCTTTAAGGTATTCCATGTTACCCTGATCAATTTGTCGTTTCTTCAGAAATTTCATTGAATTTAGTTTTTAGCGACTTCCGAGATCCATTCCTTTATTGGTTCGTTTACCAAACGGATGGCTTTGTTGGCAATCTCATCAGCTATTTCATTTTCTGGCACATCTTTGTGGACTGGAACCCAGTATATGTGCGTTACGACATTGTCCGAAATAATGCGATTCTTGGCTTTTGCCTTAATTTCCGTCTATCTATCTCAGCTTTTTTTCTGACCTCAAAGAAGATACTGCCTGGAACAAACTGCAGTATTTCGATAGCTTGAAGCGTCGCTTGAGATCAAGCTCTATGCAATAGGTTCGAACTCTCAATCCATTGACCAAGAGTCTGATCCGTTAATATAGACGTTGTAAGTTCCCGTGGCGAGTCACATGTCCATCCGCCATCCACAGTTTTATAGTATCACTTGAAACCTTCCCTTCCAACTAAAGAAGAAAGGTATGTGCTCTACTTTATCCATCAAATCACTGCTTACTGAGCTGTGCTTCGAAGATCCTTGTGGAGAATTCACTAACGCGGTAAAATTTTGCAGCCGATGGCTGGCAGGAAGAATAATCTATCTAAAGTAGTCCTGGAACCGGTTATACCGAGTTTACAACAACGCGCCCGTCGTTCTTTTTTTTTTTTTTTTGCCTGTTTGACACCAAATGGAGATTACAAACGTAGCCGAGTCCCTCTCCACCTGGTATTTCTAACGGAGCTTAACTATGCCAATGTCATCGACGACTCATCAGGTGTTACCATCGTCCGTGTCTCTGTACCATATAGAAGAACAGGGATAATGAGTGGCTAAATTTGGTCTAAAGACTATAACTTATCAAAACTTGTGATCCCCAACTTAACCAGCTTCATATTCGTCGAACGTTTTGAAACCGATACTAAAAAGTAGCTTTTCATCTAACCGAAATGGCGGCATTTGTGTAGAGCAAGTGGAGATCTCTCGGAGACTTTCTTAATGAATCTTTCGATCCATATTTTTGTGCTTTAAGCGTCTCTCAAACAATTCTTCTACCTTCTTTTAAAGGTCGGAACATCAAATTTTACCATTACTTTTAAAGTTCGGATTTCGGGGTTTCCGACTACGAAGATCACGCTGAATTTTTATATTAGCAAAAACATATTTAAAATCTGCTGGCGTGCGAAACATTGTAAAAAACATGTTGCGAAAAGTTTCCAAAGAAAGATAAGAACCAAAGTAAGTAGAACGTTTGATTGTCCGCCGAACTAGCTAAGAGTTTATACTGCGAAGATCTGTTTGTATACAAATCGGTAGTATCCAATACCACCTACCACAAAAATCGAAAATTTTTAAGATTTATTTCTCACTTCCGACAGTACCTCAGGACCAGTATCAACCACGACCACTATTATTACAACATAATTTCCCCTTATTAGTGTTCCTACTGGCTATGCATGCTTTCCAACTTTCTAACTCACTGCTCGAATGAACCCATACACTTGCATAAGAAAACTTGCTTAGACTATTTGCAAAGCGAGTCGGAAATGTTTCAGAGACACAACCAAAACAGAAAAAAGAACTGAAATCTTTGTGTGTTGAGATCCGACATGCTTGTCGCCACAAGCGTTTATACTCGCACACATGCAGCGACACCTTCACCCGAACACGAGTATGTCCGTTGGTCTGTTGTGTACACGGCGCACACGAGTGGCATGGCCTCGAGTAAATAATATATGCAAATAAGATTGAATTGGGGTTTTCGAGTGAACTTGGCACTTTGATGGGCATTTTGTCTTTGCATAAATACATACAAACATACATATGTATATATACGAGTACATGCCTGTCTGCATGTATAATTGTAATTATAGTTTTAATTGAAGTTGGAAGATCGCAAAAGTTAACGGTTGGAGGGCGTGTGAGGGCAGTAAAAATGCACTTTAATTGGTTTAATAGCCTGAGAAGATTCTGCATAAAAGAGCTTAAAGTTTTTAATACGCTTAAAGGAAATATTTTTAAATTCTTTATTTTAGAGAGAAGCTGAGCTGAGCTCTTTTCAAAGGGTACTTTAAGAAGTTATGCCTAGAAAGCAGCTCAGAAATGCTCGGTCAGTTCGGCGCTAGTCGGATTGAAATTGTCACCAAATCCAGTCGAAGACATGGTTAGTTAGGTTAGGTTCGATGACTGTTCCAGAGATCGCGCTTGGACTGATACATGCAGTCATTTGTGTAGGCATAAAAACAGAAATCTTGTATTTGATATTTCTTCAAGCACAAGTCAGCACAGCGCCTACAAATTTGCTCCAGCACTTAATTTGTATTCCCTCCAGCTCGGTGAGATATCAGATCTGTCTCATTTCCACGACAGTCGGATCTACATAATCGCAAAGAACCCGGATTTTTATTCGACCAAGGACTCTCATCTCGGCAGAAATCTGCCACAACAACAACAAAAACAGCCCGCTAGATTTCTTACGATCCATATTGGGTGAAAATGTTCTTCCGACAACGCATTAACCATAGCCCAGCGCTGACCAAGCTCCCCGAAGTTCAGCTATCCAGTCAAAGACTATTAAAGGAGGGGAAGCTATGGTATTCCTGGCCATCTTGGCTGCTTGCAGTTACCAGTGATTCCCTTGTCGAATGGCACCCATAGTAGTTTGATCAAAAAGTTTCTGCTTGCCATTGATAACGTGGTTAGACATTCCTTAATAACTTCTCAATACACGAATAGTTAACGCAAGCCTAGTATGGCCGCCCTGCTGTCAATATGAACAGAGATTTCTCCGCAGGAGGCTGCACTAACCTCGCCTGAAACAACACTCTAATAGTGAGGAAGTCTGAAGCTCAATCTGCCAATATATCCCTCCACCAATCTTCGCCCAAAGCTTTAACACATCCGTGAATAAACTCTCTGCCGCTCTCTTCTATTGACTTCTAACCACCTTCAACTCTCTTCTAAATATGTGAGGAGAAAAAAAGCCGCCAGTGTTTGGCATGGCGACTCAATGATCTTAGAGATCCGTATAAAATTATTAAACGTTCTTTAGCTTCCTGGCAAGTATAATCTTGTACAAACCAAAGGATGATTTGCGGTGAGAGATCCCATCATTTGCCACTGGCTCCTCTGTAATAATATAAAGCAATAAATGCCTTAAGGCAGGAACTTAAAAGAAGTTTCGATTTACAAGCAGACTTCGAGTACCCGAACAATTGTCTTGGTTGACTCGAATTGCATTTCAGTTTTAAGAATCACCTAAAGTTTTCATTTTTTAATTTAAAGGGCTCCTATCCTTAGTCCTCCTCCTATTGCTTAATTCCACCGCAAAGTATTTGTCTTTCGAAATCACACCTCTGCACTTCCCCCTCACCTACTATCCAATTTAGGCAGACCAAATAAACATCTTCCTTTCCTACTTTCCTAATAACAAAAGCAAGAATTTTAACACCTGCTCGGAAGCTTCCGCCCCGAGCTAAACATTCCACTTGGCCAAGTGGCCGGGCATTAAGTGCCAGTAGAAGTGTGCTGAAGTGCTCTTTACCGGTTGGATTTTATGAATGTGGGCATAAGAGATTCATGAGTAAATTGCCTACACCAACACTGCAGCAACAACAAAACCCACAGTGCCACATACCAGCGGTGAGCCGCAGCATTAGTGAGGCATCAGAGTCGTGAGCGGCGTGCGTAGCAATGAGAAGTTAATTAGCTAAATTAGCTCAAATTGATTGCCACAAGCCAATAACGGGCGAGTAAGACAACAAAAATTTATAGCTGCCCCTGAGATGTTCTGCTTTAAAATGATCTGGCATTAACTTGGTAATAGAAGCTCTACTGCTGGCAAACTCCACCAATGTTGTGTAACCCTTGTAATTTTTAGAAATTTTAGTACTTCTAAAGAAAGTGCTCAATCAAAATGAATTGTCAGAGATTTTCATTGTTTATTCTTCAGTTGAAAAATCTTTATAAAACAAAATTCTGGTGAATACGTGGCGTTCTTTGAGTACACAAGCTGTGTGCGCCGCAGGACTGCCTTTACTCGGTGCGGTACGTTGAAATTATGGCTACGGTAAAGCGTACCGTTATCATTAAAAAGGTTTCCGTGAGCGGCGCACCCAACCAACCGCCGCCGAAACCCATTACAATATCACAAGCCGATTTTGAGAAAGCTTGCTTGGAGGCGCACAATAAATTTCGAGCCATGCACGGCACACCACCGCTCAGTATTAATCCAAACCTCACGCAGGTCGCCGCCAAATGGGCGCAGGTTAGCTGCAATGCACCATAATGCTGTGGCATGAAATTTAAAATATTTCTTTCATTCTTCCTACAGAACCTGGCGAAACGGCAGAAGATGGAGCACAGCCCCAATGGCAAGTACGGTGAGAATATCTATTACAGCAGCGGCCAGCAGGTGACACCGGATATGCCCGCGAAGATGTGGTATGACGAGATTGCCAAATATGATTTCGCCAAGTCAGTGTTCAATCCATACACCGGACACTTTACACAGCTGATATGGCGCGACACGAAGCAAGTGGGCGTGGCATATGCGACGTCGTGAGTGTGGCATGTATTTAAAAGTGTGGTGCATAATTTTCTAAATTTGTTTTTAATGTTTTTGTTTTTTAGTGGTGAAAAGGTTTGGGTTGTCGCCAATTACGATCCACCGGGTAATGTGAACGGTTTCTTCAAAGATAATGTGCCGCCAAAAAAGTGAGAAAGAAACAGGAAACGAGCTTCCAGCAATATTTCAAGGCCACCGCCTTTTGGTGACTTCCGAAAGGTGTGGAGAAAATGTAAATACTCTAGTTGCGCTCACAATTGCCTAGCCTTTTTAAAAAATGCTTAAGAAATGGAATGAGAAACTCTCCATCATTTATTTTAAGAGAGTGCAATAAAATGGGTATAGAGTTACCATAACAAAATGAAATAGGTTAACTGAAATAAATTAAAAGTAGCTACTCTGGACTCGTGGTTATGCATTGTTATTTCAACCAACCATTCGATTTTTTATTATCTTTTTTAACGGTACATTTTATGCTGATATCTGTAAATACTCTGTCACACTCGTACAAGTAAAAACTGTGATGCGATATGCGGTAAGAAAAACGGTTATAGATTGGAGTCTACATACATACATAAAAAGACAGAGTTTGTTTATGAAAGAAACTAGTTCATAATAAATCGTATTAGAATCATAGACCATCGAAAATGCAGAAGAAAACAATCAAAACAGTTATTAACGACACTGAATACTAACAAGAGTCGCGACATATGCGACAAGGGGTTTAGATAATTTAATCTTGGACCAATTCAAGACTGCAAAACTGGCTCCTTTTTCCTAAAGAAATCGACTATGTAAGACAGCCCGAGGAACACTAATTTAGTGCCCTTAACCATCCAGGAGAGTTTCTCGAAAAGTTTACAGAAAGGTTGAAGAACCTATACCAGCGATTATGAGACTCTAGTCTTCTCATTCGGTAGAGATGCGACGAATGAATTTATCGAAGCAGTAAAATTACCGTTATTATTCCAACTCGTCGAATTTCACAAATAACGTCTTCTCTAAATTGAAGCAAAATTCACGCTGAATGATTTTATAAGATATAAAGATCATGACGACATACATATCTCCTCTCATTAAATCAAATCAAAGTATTGTACTCTATAATCTCTTGACTACCAGAAAACTGAAGTTCCTAATGATATCCGCTTTGTATGTAGATCTACCAACAATATTCATCTTGAAAGCCTACATATAATCATAGAATCATAGACTTGTGAAATCTGAAGGTAAAACTATGATATGTCGTCCACGCGGTTCATGAGTCTTAATATTTATTCAATCTGTTGCACTCAAAGTTCAGGAAACTAGCGTAGAGCAGCTGGCTTTACTGGAGCTCTGAGTAAAGTGGTACATAAAACTATACCCGCATTTGACCCGTACTTCGCGACTATTCTTCTAGCATCGAGGCATAAATAAAATGGTTTACAACCAGCCGGTTTAAGGCTTGAGACCATTGAACAAAGCTCAGTATTGCTGCGGGTTTGTTAGCATATATAATCTTATTATGGGGTAGATTCGTGGGGAGCTAAACTCAACTTTTTTTCTTAGTAGAAATGAATGAACCACAAGGGTTATCTCATCGACTCAAAATCTATGTACTCACCGATGGATTAATTGATAAAACAGGGACAGGAGCAGGACCTTTTCATAGCAATCCATACACAGATAGACCAGATAGCCTCGAACGAAATGATTACAATCTGTCATTGATACCAATATTCTGGCATAAAAGAAAGTGCAAGTAAGCTTCTGCTCTCAACCACCACTCACGACCTCCCAACATTTCCAGATATTGATCAGACCAGAATACAATGGAACTAGGAGAACATTTTGTAGAGCATTACATTTCCTACAACATCTTTAAATCGAGATATGTTTGCGAGTACTTTGGACACAGTTGGAAGATACTAATAATCGAAAATTCTACGAAAAGATGTGATGTAGAATCCCCAGTGATCTAGAGACTGATGTTAAGCGCATATTTAAATTATGGATGGCATGCTTCCATCAAGAAAAAAGGACTCACCGTCAAAAAATTTATTGGACCTTATTAGTCTGACTTCAGGCCAGGAAAATCAACAACCGACCAGATATTTACCATGCGCCAAAACTTAGAAACAACCCGAAAAAGAGCTGCCTTTATGCCGCTATGACTGAATTTGCCAACCTAATACCAAAAGCTTCGTGCGGCAACGAAAAGGAAGACCGACTGGCGCGTTGCTGCATACTCGACTTCCGCGTAAGCAAGACATTATATATATACATATATGATAATACGAAAAGAGGAAAATGTAACGTACGGACGTTCGTCCAGTTACAATTAGAAGATCATAGTTCGAGAACCTTTCTCGAAGGTGTCTAAGAAAATATTATTCAGCGTTCCAAGCGAAGAGAAATAACCGTTTTTGTTTTTTCTAACCAACCTAATATATAGTCTATTATACAAACGAAAGGAAGGGGAAGAAATGCCTCGTACACTAATTGAGTCCCGAACAAAAAATCTTAACAACTGAATTGACCCAAAATGTATCCACAGTCAAAAGCAGTAAATTTCTTTGAAACGTTAATTGCATGCATAAATTCTTAAAAATTTATCGCTTCTCACAAGGTCTAGCCTCTCTAAAGCTCACTCCCACGTTCTGCTCTTTTAATTGAGTAATTAACGGTAAATTTAAAAACACAATAACCGTTATAATTCATATATATGGTCAAATTAAGCCTAGTGAACTGTCTGTATGACAGCACAAGAGACAGACACATAGCCGCCACCCACACAAGGACACATTGTAAGCACACACACACACACTCATACACCCAACTACCCATTTAATACCTAATTTAACAGCAGCATGCAAAATAGTGCCGCCAGCCCGCAACTCAAATTGGTTGTAGCGTTTAATGGGAACAACAACTGACTGTGTGCGTGGGTGTGTGTGCGTTTAGCTTATTAAAAGTGCGCGCCATCGTCAATATTAAATAGAATTAAGTGGCATTGCGGTGAACATTCTAATGCAGGAAGCATGCATGTACATATATGTATGTAAGCATGTGGCTGAGTGTGTCGCCTCCTATTTAATGCCACAACAATATGATCTCCTGCGCTTTACAAACAGTTGCACATATATATACTGTTCACAGCATGACAACAAAGTTGCAACATAATTTTTAGTTAAATTAAAATATGCAGATATTTATGTGGCCTACGTGACTCACACACAGCGCAGCCACAAGCACACATAACTGTAGGCTATTTATTTTTAAATGCGTGGTTAGGCAAATGGTTATAAATTTAGTCTCAAAATGAAGAAAAAACGTTAACTTCAGTTGCATCGAAGCTATAATACCCTACAGATATACAAAAGATTTCTGACAAGAATTTCATTTTGATAGTGCAGTTTGTATGGTAGCTATATGCTATAGTTGCCCGATCTGAACAATTTTTACAGAGATTACACCATGGTTTCAGGTAATATTTCACGCCAAATTTCTTGTTGATAACTCTTCAAATCAAGAAGTTTTTCATACAAGAACCCGTTTCCAATCGTTCAGTTTGTATGGCAGCTATATGCTATAGTCATTCGATCTGAACATTTTCCGCGAATCTTGTATCTTAGCCTTAGACAATAATTTGTACCAAATTTCGTAACGATATCTCATCAAAAGAAAAAGTTTTCCATATAAGAACCCGATTCCGATCGTTCAGTTTGTATGGCAGCTATAACCTATAGTGGTGCTGTAATAGAGGCTCCCAGAAATGAGACGCTTCTTAGCGAGAAAAGATCACATACAAAATTTTTGGTCGATATCTCAAAAAATCAGGGACTATTTCGCATATATACAGACAGACAGAGAGACGTACCTGGCTAAATGGACTCAGCGCGTCCCGCTGATCATGTATTTATGTATATATTTTATAGGGTCTCTTCTCTCTCTTATTCTGAATGTTTCAAACTTCGGAGAAAACTTAATATATCCTGAACAGAGGGAAATGAAGGAGTAAAGGGTGTTTCACGAGGAATATCTAAGTGTGCTCTTTTTATAAATTTTGAGAAGACATAGCAAAGGAAAGCGAACTAAAGAAAGAAGGACAAAGCGAAAAACCCACTTTTGTTTTCACGCAGATCTCATACACTAAAAGTACCCTCCGAAACACCCTATATTCATTCCCACGACAGAGGTGAAAGGAACTGGAATATACCCGGGTTCCTATCCGGTCAAGGACTCTCAAACCGGCACCATGTCTCGAAATAAGTTTTCTGCCGAACAACAAAAACAGCCACTCCATATATTTGTATTCCTTCGGTTTTGTCACCAATACTCGCTGCTGTTTTTGTTGGTTTTTCGCTTTGAATGCGCGCAACAGCATGTAACGGTCAATACGCTCGCACGCAAGCTAAGACTCTACCAGCCAACTGACAGCAGTGCTGACTATATACGCTGCACACGCATTTAGCTATTTACTGCTGTTTGTGTATGTGAGTAAGCGCTCACAGTGCGGTGCGTGTTCGTGGCTTTGAAATGTTGTTGACTTTTGCGTATTTGCAGTAGTTGCTGTTCTTGTTGTTGTGCTGTGTTTTAGCTTGTTCTAGTGTCGGCATTTGCAACTAAATTTATGGCGTTATTTCCGCATCCGGTTTCCGTTGAACGCATGTTTTACGCGCCATATCCGCCAGCCTTGTGCAGCGCGCACAGCAATGCAAAGAACGCCAACAACAGCAAGAACAACAACCGCAAATAATGTGCAACAAAGCGTTGATATTTAATTTAAAAATTATTTATGCCTTTATCATAATAAACGTCAGCGTAATTTACGCGCACACCAAAGGCATACAGTCCCATAGATATGCTCAGCGCACGGCTATACAGCATCCATGTGCGTCTGTAGTAGCCTAGGTAACCACAATCACGCATTCGAAAGCTTGCAACATAATAGTGTCTCACACACACATGCATTTATATGCGTTTGTGTTTATCTTTATCATATATACACTCACGCATGGCTTGCGGCTGCCCATAATAAAATGTGCTTTGCGGTTGCACGTGGCGTATGAGTAATATTGTTTTGTTTTTCAATTAAATCATGCAACTAATTTCATAATAACCGATAACTAAGCGCAAAGCTTACGTACAGTTATATTTATATTTGTTTATGCGCATATCTATGAAGCTATTACTCTATTCATTTGCGCTAATTTTCGTTTAAATTACACTTCAGTTCAACTGGAAAATTGAATATGCCAACAATTGCATATTGTAAGCTAATTATTTGCAAAGGTAAGTAATATATGTAAGCGTGATAAGCTAATATATCTCTCTGAGTTACTGGAAAATTCAGGCATAATTATTTATGGTGCAAAAATATGTTGGTAAATTTATCTTATTGCGTTGAAAAAAGTAATTT